ATCGACAAGAAGAAGTACGCCTTGAACGATACAGTCACCTCGGTAAATGCCGGACTCTTGTCTAACCTCTTTTTGAAGTGAGTTTTTGATTGAATCTTCAAATACAATGCTTTCTAAAATTGACGCTAGACTTTCTCCCATTCTTCGCTCTTTCGCCTTCGTTGAAAACTTTTTTAAGCTCCAAAGACGGCGGAAAAGCTCGAACGTAAGCCGGAGGCGAACAAAGAAGTCTTCATCGCTGCGCATGATGGCGTGTGTCAATAAGGCCATATTTTTCGCGCCACGCCCGTTCTATGGTCTCGTCGCTTGCGGCACGAAGAAAGTAAAAGAAATGGGCTGGCATTGGTCCAAGCACATCGACCCTGCTGTGCACCATCATCAGTGGCGAACAAGTTTGTGTGGCAGTCGACAGACTCTACTCATACTATTCACATTTCTAGAGCGCTTATACCTTCCTATCACATCCTTACGGAATTGTTTGTGACGGTCCGCCTACTTGTACCAACTTCTCTCTGATATTCATCTCCCCCTCCATACCCATTTCTCTGTGGAATATTTTCTAGATACTTCCCTCTTCTCAATTGTCCTTTTTCAGCTCTCTTCCCAGAATTTTTCACTTTCTCCTAGACCTTCATCCTATTCTCAGCGCCAAACTCCTTAGCTTTACAATGTTCTGGCACAGAATTCTTCGCTTACTTCTTGTACGAAATCAATGTTATATCCGCAACGTTCAGGCTCTGCATAGATGATGACATGAGGAACTATCGGTGTCGAAACGATTCCCTCCCCCTGAAACAGGTGTCTTCAGTATGCTCCCTTACTGGTGCTATCCAAACATCCGTGTATCCTTTAGGTTTCCGCCTACACTCTCGAAGCAGAACGGTGTAGGTCCGGAAGTATCATCGAGGAGAGCGCTAGGTGGCACCCTGCCAATGAGTATAGCAGCTTCTTGGCACGTGCAAAACGATGGTCGTCGCAGTGTGTACCTCATTCTGCAGCACATAGTCATGATCCCTGCAAACGATAGGGCGTGTGAGCGGGTTTGGATTGCAGCGCTGCCAAGGCCGCCTTCTCATCAATCCTCGATCGAGCATACAACCACTGGCAGGAAGGCCTGTTTTACCTGCGATCCAGCCCACGCCCCTTGCATGCCCTTTTTTCTGTAAGGGTCATAACTATACATCCAACAAGGGACAAGGGATAGGAACATCTCTGCTCACTAAGGTTTAGCCCATTAATTCTTGGACCACGGTGGTCAAGTTCAGTCGCAGGCATAGTAAAGATGCAGCTCCCCGTTGTTGCTCCGACTCTTGCATTGAATTTTGAGGCCTTCCTGAAGCGGGCCCCCTATGGTACTTTATCGGCTGTTATCAGGTCCTGCTACCCACCAATAATGTTCCTATCCTGCCCCATATATTACTTCTTGAAAACAACGTTCTACCGTCGCTGTGACGCGCACTATGGTGTTAGTGACCATTCCTTTCTAAGGCTCCTTATGGTATCTTATCGGCTGTTATCACTTCCTGCCACCCACCAAAATGTCCCCTTCCTGCCCCATATATTACTTCTTGGAAACAACGTTCTACCGTCGCTGTGACGCGCACTATGGAGTTGGTGACCATTCTTTCTAGGGCTCCCCATGGTATCTTGTCAGCTTTATCACTTCCTGCCACCCACCAAAATGTCCCCT